TTCTGTGTTTAAAACCTCTCCAGTGGGGCAGGAGAGGGAAACAGAGAAAATTCCCTGTGGATGGAGCTCCTGGTGGACCAGCAGATTGTCCTGGGGGACAAGAGGCCAAAGCAATCCTGGGGTGCATTGGGAAGAATTGGGAAGAACATTTTTTCCTGGACAAATTTCCCATTTTCTCGTCGCGTTTTGCAAGCAGAAAACAGATTTGAGGCTCAAATATTTTCAAATCCCCCCATGAATTGATTCTAGCGTGCTGTAAACCCAGCCCTGGTTCCTAAGGGCACCCACATTTCCCTCCTCTCCCCGATGAAATTCCCATTTTTTCCCTGGAGTTCCAGTACCTGGAAAGAGTTGAACAGCATTTCATAGTGCATTTGAACTTGCCAAAGAATCCCTGACACGTCTGTGTATGGCATAGCCATGAAAACAATATAGTGAACGCCAAACAGAGGCATAAGGACGAGGGTAGATTTCAGCAGCTTCCTGCAGGGAAAAAAAAGGGGAAAAAAAAGGAGAGGAAAGGGAAAAAAAGAGGGAAAAAGGGGAGAAAGAAAGGGGAAAAAAGGGGAAAATGAAAGGAAAAGGGGAAAGGAAAGGGGGAAATAAAGGGGGAAATAAAGGGGGAAATAAAGGAAAAGAAAAGGGGAAAAAAAAAGGAGAGGAAAGGGGAAAAAAGGGGGAAAAAGGGGAGAAAGAAAGGGGAAGAAAGGGGAAAATGAAAGGAAAAGGGGAAAGGAAAGGGGGAAAGGAAAGGGGGAAATAAAGGGGGAAATAAAGGAAAAGAAAAGGGGAAAAAGAAAAGGGGGAAAAAAAGGAGAGGAAAGGGAAAAAAGGAGGAAAAAAGGAGAGGAAATGGGAAAAAAAAGGGGGAAAAAGGGGAGAAAGAAAGGGGAAAAAGGGAAAATGAAAGGAAAGGGGGAAAGGAAAGGGGGAAATAAAGGGGGAAATAAAGGAAAAGAAAAGGGGAAAAAGAAAAGGGGAGAAAGAAAAGGGGAAAAAGAAAAGGAGAGAAAGAAAAGGGGAGAAAGAAAAGGGGAAAAAGAAAAGGGGAGAAAGAAAAGGAATTAGTGCATGGCTAAACCTCCCCAGCATCACCAGCCCAGCCAGGTTTGTCACTGGGCATGAGCTGCTCGTGGTTTTCTCCTTGTCCCCTTGGGTATGGGATGTCTACACAGTGCTGTGGAATTCCACCTGGAATTCCAGGCAGTTGGTTCAGCCCTGGACATGGCCCTGTGTGACGCTGCAGGTGACAGCACTGAGGGGGCTCTTCCAGTCAGGATCATGGGGGGAAGGCGGAAAGGAAGGAAAGGGATTTGTGCTGCAATTCCAGCCCTCAGGCTCCAACTGAAATCCACCAAATCCCCTTGTCCCTAAAGGATGGTTCTCCATTCTTCCCATGGACCTACACGACCCACAGCGGCTGCCGCTGCTCGGGCAGGAGGTGCAGAATTTTGGCTTCCAGAGCTCTTTGCCAACCTCAACCACTCCACTGAGGCAAGGCAGGAAAATCCACCCTGGCTCGGTGGCTCCTGTGCAAAGAGCAGATCTGTGTCATGGACATATTGCATGAAAAATCCTTTTGTTAGGATCTTTTCTCCTGAGAAGCTGAGAAGCTTCAGTCTCTCCATGTTTTGCTGGTTTGGAATGTGATTTGAAGAATTGTTTACCCAGCATGTGAAATTGCTTTTACTTGATGACCAAATGACAGCCACCTGTGTCGAGGCTGTGAGCAGCCACAAGATTTTCCTTTCCTTTCCTTTCCTTTCCTTTCCTTTCCTTTCCTTTCCTTTCCTTTCCTTTCCTTTCCTTTCCTTTCCTTTCCTTTCCTTTCCTTTCCTTT